CAATTGAAGGATTAACTTATAGAGAATCTTATTAGTGACTCAGTTATTGTTGATTTGGTGCGCGCCTAGACACTATATAAAGGAATTAAAACACTGTATTATGACTCTTCAGCTCATATGCTATTTTTGTAAGAGGCTGAAGAAACTCTGATCTATTTTTAATTGTTCGTGATTTAGTCGAGTGATAAACATTTATTCTAAAACAGACAACACATATAGGATTGTGTGAAATCATTCAAGGACTTGCACATTTAAATACTTTAGTCAGATCATGTGTGATTTTCTATGGGATTGCCTTGAATAAAAAAAAATTGGATTCAGAACCGTTTCTTCCAGTGATTCTAGCACCTTAGCACAAAGCGCATTAGAACCTTCATTCGGGATACCTTTGGATAAACTGATAGTACAAATTAAGATAATATTCAAGAAATTCATACCCTCTAGGTTATTTCTAATTTTGTCACTTGGTTTTATATTATATTATATTATATTATATTATATTATATTATATTATATTATATTATATTATATTATATTATATTATATTATATTATATTATATTATATTATATTATATTATATTATATTATATTATATTATATTATATTATATCATATCATATCATATCATATCATATATATATATATATATATATATATATATATATATATATATATATATATATATATATATATATATATATATATATATATATATATATATATATATATATATTGAATAGTTGACTGATTTACCTTATCTTGCTACTTATTTTGAACCTTTACACTAACACCTATCAATAGTAGGGTATTCTCGTATTGAATTTTTTTATTACGTTTCTCTGTATTATTAAATATATACATATAGATTAACCTATTCCATTATTATGACTCAATTCAACTTGGATTAAATACAAATGTTGATGGAAATATTCCTAATAATTTATACTGAAAATTAACAATGACTTGATAATGTACAATTTAATCACAGAAATCCATCTTGCTTTGCACCATTTTCTAGTAGAAAAGAACACACTCTTTGTCTGGACAGAGCGAAATTGTTTCAAGTCAGCCTTTAATTATTTTTAAAAATAGCAAGAATAATCGGGTATTGAAGATACATTGATTTGTATATTGGATAATAGGAAATGAGTAGTGTTTTACATGTTGGGAACTAGGAAATGAGCAATGCATTGTACATGGAGTGCTCGATATTGCTTTGTGTAGTAGGTATTAGATACTGAGTAGTGTTTTGCATGTAGGGTATTAAGAAGTAAGTAGTATTTTGTATGATGGGTATTAGGAAGTGAGTAGTGTTTTGTATGTTTGGTATTAGGAAGTGAGTAGTGTTTTGTATGTTGGGTATTAGGAAGTGAGTAGTGTTTTGTATGTTGGGTATTAGGAAGTGAGTAGTGTTTTGTATGTTGGGTATTAGGAAGTGAGTAGTGTTTTGTATGTTGGGTATTAGGAAGTGAGTAGTGTTTTGTATGTTGGGTATTAGGAAGTGAGTAGTGTTTTGTATGTTGGGTATTAGGGAGTGAGTAGTGTTTTGTATGTTGGGTACTAGGGAGTGAGTAGTGTTTTGTATGTTGGGTATTAGGAAGTGAGTAGTGTTTTGTATGTTGGGTATTAGGAAGTGAGTAGTGTTTTGTATGTTGGGTATTAGGAAGTGAGTAGTGTTTTGTATGTTGGGTATTAGAGAGTGAATGGTGTTTTGTATGTTGGGTATTAGGAAGTGAGTAGTGTTTTGTATGTTGGGTATTAGGAAGTGAGTAGTGTTTTGTATGTTGGGTATTAGGAAGTGAGTAGTGTTTTGTATGTTGGGTAATGAGTAGTGTTTTGTATGTTGGGTATTAGGAAGTGAGTAGTGTTTTGTATGTTAGGTATTAGGAAGTGAGTGGTGTTTTGTATGTTGGGTATTAGGAAGTGAGTAGTGTTTTGTATGTTGGGTATTAGGAAGTGAGTGGTGTTTTGTATGATGGGTATTAGGAAATGAGTAGTGTTTTGTATGTTGGGTATTAAGGAGTGAGTAGTGTTTGTATGTTGGGTATTAGGAAGTGAGTAGTGTTTCGTATGTTGGGTATTAGGAAGTGAGTAGTGTTTTGTATGTTGGGTATTAGGAAGTGAGTAGTGTTTTGTATGTTGGGTATTAGGGAGTGAGTGGTGTTTTGTATGTTGGGTATTAGGAAGTGAGTAGTGTTTTGTATGTTGGGTATTAGATACTAAGTAGAGTTTTGTATGTTGGGTATTAGGAAGTGAGTAGTGTTTAGTATGTTGAGTAGTAGGGAGTGAGCAGTGTTTTGTATGTTGAGTACTAGGGATTGAGTAGTGTTTTGTATGTTGGGTATTAGGGAGTGAGTAGTGTTTTGTATGTTGGGTATTAGGGAGTGAGTAGTGTTTTGTATGTTGGGTATTAGGAAGTGAGTAGTGTTTTGTATGTTGGGTATTAGGAAGTGACTAGTGTTTTGTATGTTGGGTATTAGATACTAAGTAGTGTTTTGTATGTTGGGTATTAGGAAGTGAGTAGTGTTTTGTATGTTGGGTATTAGATGCTAAGTAGTGTTTTGTATGTTGGGTATTAGGAAGTGAGTAGTGTTATGTATGTTGGGTATTAGATACTAAGTAGTGTTTTGTATGTTGGGTATTAGGAACTGAGTAGTGTTTTGCATGTTAGGTATTAGATACTAAGTAGTGTTATGTATGCTGGGTATTAGGGAGTGAGTCTTGTTTTGTATGTTGCATATTAGGAAGTAAATAGTGTTTCGTATGTTGGGTATTAGGAAGTGAGTAGTGTTTTGTATGTTGGGTATTAGGGAGTGAGTGGTGTTTTGTATGTTGGGTATTAGGAAGTGAGTAGTGTTTTGTATGTTGGGTTTTAAGGAGTGAGTAGTGTTTTTTGTGTTGGGTATTAGAGATTGAGTAGTGTTTGTGTGTTGGTTAGTAGGGATTGAGTAGTGTTTTGTATGTTGGGTATTGGGAGTGAGTGGTGTTTTGTATGTTGGGTATTAGGAAGTGAGTAGTGTTTTGTATGTTGGGAACAAGGAAGTGAGTGGTGTTTTGTATGATTGGTATTAGGAAGTGAGTGGTGTTTTTTATGTTGGGTATTAGGGAGTGTGGGGTGTTTTGTATGTTGGGTATTAGGAAGTGAGTAGTGTTTCGCATGTTGGGTATTAGGATGTGAATAGTGTTTCGTATGTTGGGTATTAGGAAGTGAGTAGTGTTTTGTATGTTGGGTATTAGATACTAAGTAGTGTTTTGTATGTTGGGTATTAGGAAGTGAGTGGTGTTTTGTATGATGGGTATTAGGAAGTGAGTAGTGTTTTGTATGTTGGGTATTAGGGAGTGAGGGATGTTTTGCATGTTGGGTATTAGGAAGTGTGTAGTGTTTCGCATGTTGGGTATTAGGTAGTGAATAGTGTTTCGTATGTTGGGTATTAGGAAGTGAGTAGTGTTTTGTATGTTGGGTATTAGATACTAAGTAGTGTTTTGCATATTGGCTATTAGGAAGTGAGTTGTTGTAGTTGTTGTTGGGCTTAACGCCATTTTTCAGCATTTGATAGGCTATTCATGGCGGCCAGTATTAATGGTGGAGGAAGAAACCAGGAAATCACCAGAAAGAACCACCGACCCACGAGAAGCTACTGGCAAGCTTTCTCACATATCCACATTCTCCGAATCTTAGACTCGAACACACGCAGACATAGGTGAGATGGCAGTGATCCGTAACTGACAGCGCTTTTGACCACTCGGCCACTCGGGGCCCCTTAGGAAGTGACTAGTGTTTTGTATGTTGGGTATTAGATACTAAGTAGTGTTTTGTATGTTGGGTATTAGATACTAAGTAGTGTTTTGTATGTTGGGTATTAGGGAGTGAGTAGTGTTTTGTATGTTGGGTATTAGGAAGTGAGTAGTGTTTTGTATGTTGGGTATTAGGAAGTGAGTGGTGTTTTGTATGTTGGGTATTAGGAAGTGAGTAGTGTTTTGTATGTTGGGTATTAGGGAGTGAGTAGTGTTTTGTATGTTGGTTAGTAGGGAATGAGTAATGTTTTGTATGTTGGGTATTAGGGAGTGAGTAGTGTTTTGTATATTGGGTATTAGGTATTGAGTAGTGTTTTGTATGTTGGGTTTTAGAAAGTGAGTAGTGTTTTGTATGTTGGGTATTAGGAACTGAATAGTGTTTTGTATGTTGGGTATTAGGAAGTGAGTAAAGTTTCGTATGTTGGGAATTAGGAAGTGAGTAGTGTTTTGTATGTTGGGTACTAGAAAGTGAGTAGTACTTTGTGTGTTGGGTATTAGGATGTGTGTAGTGTTTCGTATGTTGGGTATTAGGGAGTGAGTTTGTTTGTATGTTGGGTACTAGGAAGTGAGTAGTGTTTTGTATGTTTGGCACTAGGGAGTGAGTAGTGTTTTATATGTTGGGTACTAGAAAGTGAGTAGTACTTCGTGTGTTGGGTGCTAGGAAGTGAGCAGTGTTTTGTATGTTGGGTATTAGGAAGTGAGTGGTGTTTTGTATTTTGGATATTAGTAAGTGAGTAGTGTTTTGTATGTTGGGTATTAGGAAGTGAGTGGTGTTTTGTATGTTGGGTATTAGTAAGTGAGTAGTGTTTTGTATGTTGGGTATTAGGAAGTGAGTGGTGTTTTGTATGTTTGTTATTAGCAAGTGAGTAGTATTTCGTATGTTTGTACTAGGGAGTGAGTAGTGTTGTGTATGTTGGGTGCTAGAAAGTGAGTAGTGTTTTGTATGCTGAGTAATGGTGAAGTGTGTTGTGGTGTGGTGCTTATGATGTTAACGTAGCTTTTAACATTTTTTTGAATCATATCGCTACGATGTAAGGCAGTTTATAGTGATGTCTATCACTAGGGCATCATGCTGCAGACATGTATCATAATGTTCCACCCAGTCACATTATCCTGACACCAGACCAACCAGTCTTAACACTGACCTCTAAGTTCTGAGCGTCAAGCGAGGCAGCCATTAGTACCATTTTTGTAAGTCTTTCGTATGACTCGACCGGGGATAGAACTAACGACCTTCCGCATCGGAGGCGGACGCTCAAACCACTAGGCCACCGGACAGGTTGGAACTGAATAGTGCTTTGTACGTTGGGCATTAGGAAACGAGTGTCGCCTTTCATTTTGTGAATTGCATATTGTTTTGTTTGGTGGGTATTAGGAAGTGAGCAGTGTTTTGTATGTTTAGTACTAGGAAATGAGCAGTGCTTTGTATGTTGGGTATTAGGAATTGGGATGTGCCTGCTATGCTGGGTAGTGGGTATTGCTTTGTTTGGTGGTTACTAGGAAGTGAGCAGTGCCAATGTTGTGCATTAGGAAATGAATAGTACTGTAGTAGTGTTGGGTATTAGGAACTAAGTAGGGTCTTGTATGTTGGTTATTTAGAACTGAGTAGTGCTGTTTTGTGAGTACTAGGCGATGAGAAGTGCTTTGCTTTTTGGGTTCTAGGAAGTGAGAAGTACTTTGTATGTGGGTACCAGGAAGTGAGAAGTGCTTGCTTTGTGGGTACCAGGAAGTGAGTTGTAATTCTTAAATGAAATTAACAGCATATGATTTGTATTTTAAAAAAAAACATAGCTTACTGAATGTATTTTGCAGACGTTAAAATAGTCTGTTTTAACGCAACAAACAATTCTGGTAATTTTGGAAGATCACCAAGTTACTGTCTAATAACTCAGTCCAAATTACACAGACAATGTGATAGACTGTATTTACCACTATTCTTAACATCTAATTCCCCTGCAACTGGATGAAACCGGGATCACTAGCTACGAACAATCAATACTGAAATGCATTCTGACCGGAAGCAAGATAAACCAGTGTGATGTAATTCAGACTTGCATGATATTCGGAGTGGAAGCAGTAAAACTTATCAAGATACATCCTTACTTTAGTCAATTTTGTTGTCAATGAGTAGCGTGTGTGTGTTTCTGTGTGTGTGTGTATGTGTGTGTGTGTGTGAGAGAGAGAGAGAGAGATTGAGAGAGAGAGAGAGAGAGAGAGAGAGAGAGAGAGAGAGAGAGAGAGAGAGAGAGAGAGAGAGAGAGAGAGAGAGAGAGAGAGAGAGAGAGAGAGAGAGAGAGAGATTTGGATTTTTAAAGTATCTTTAAAAAATTTCAGTCATATCGCTACGATATCTGCAGTATGACAATTTATAGTGATGTGTATCACTGGGGCATCATATCGCAGACACGAAGCATGATGTCCCACAAAGTCACATTATCCTGACACTAGGCAGACCAGTCCCAACATTAATAACCTCTCAATGCTGAGCGTCCAGCAAGGCAGCTGTTAATATCATTTTTGTTAGTCTTTGGTATGACACGACCGGGGCTCGAACCCACGACCTCCCGTGAGAGAGAGAGAGAGAGTTTTTTGTGGAAGGGCTAGAATTTTGTGAAAACAAATTACTTGTCTCAAGTAACTGGGGCATCATACCGCAGACACGAAGCATGATGTCCCACCCAGTCACATTATCCTGATACCAGGACGACCAGTCCTAACACTAACCTCTTAATGTTGAAGGCCTAGCGATGTAGCTGTTATTACCATTTTTATAATTCTTGGGTATGGCTATAACGGGGTTTGAACCCGAAACATCCCTCGTCGGAAGCAGACGCTCTAATCACTAGGTCACTGGAGAGGTCGTGTATGCATGCATGTATGTATGTATGTATGTATGTATGTATGTATGTATGTATGTATGTATGTATGTATGTATGTATGTATGTATGTATGTATGTATGTATGTATTTATGTATGTATGTATGTATGTATGTATGTATGTATGTATGTATGTATGTATGTATGTATGTATGTATGTATGTATGTATGTATGTATGTATGTATGTATGTATGTATGTATGTATGAGAATCATCATATATATATATATATATATATATATATATATATATATATATATATATATATATATATATATATATATATATATATATATATATATATCTGATCTAATACTGATTGTTTTGACGCCATAATGCGGCTTAATAAAACTATCTACCTCTGCCAATCTCTCTCTCTCTCTCTCTCTCTCTCTCTCTCTCTCTCTCTCTCTCTCTCTCTCTCTCTCTCTCTCTCTCTCTCTCTCTCTCTCTCTCTCTCTCTCTCTCTCTCTCATGCACGCATGCACCCATAAACGATATTCCTAGATATAATCTTAGTATTTTGTATTGCACACTGAATATAAATATTCAAAGAATGGGGTACTTTCAGGATGAAATAAGAATTGTCAATTTATTCATCGATTATCTCTGCTATCTATACATGACGCATGTGCAAATTACTCCAGGGAATGGACCGGATAAGCCACATCCTATGATGTATGTCTAATACTGATACATCCATGTCCCGGGCTGAAGGTTTCAAAATGCCTTGTATGCATATAACCCATTAGGTATCTCAGAATTGTATACACTGCAACTAAAAACAAAGGATTGATACAAAACGAGAGAGAGAGAGAGAGAGAGAGAGAGAGAGAGAGAGAGAGAGAGAGAGAGAGAGAGAGAGAGAGAGAGAGAGAGAGAGAGAGATAGAGAGAGAGAGAGAGAGAAAGAGAGAGAGAGAGAGAGAGAGAGAGAGAGAGAGAGAGAGAGAGAGAGAGAGAGAGAGAGAGAGAGAGAGAAAACTTGTTATGGCTCATAAACAAAAGGAACTTCAAACATTTTACTTTTCGACAAAATGTCATGCCCAGGAGTGAAGAACATGTTGCCATTTAAAAATGCATAATTCAATTTTTTATTACAATTTTTTCATATGAGGAAACCATCTTTAAACAAAGGAAAATGGAACCAACATTGCGCAGGGTACTCAATCTTAAGTCAATAAATGAATTGCCTTCTCTTTTGTACAGTATCCATATATTAATAAGGAACAGAGGAATTTTAATTCACTTTTCAACTTGTTGCAGTATATCACGACTTGCGAGCATGGTTAAACTTGTCCCAATTGTTTCTCTGATTCTGAAAACTTAATTAAATATTCACACGTTGGAAACAAATAGTGTTTCAAGATTTGGTAGTATTTAATTAAACCAACTGTTCTGGCGTGCATCAATTTAACCGCACACTGAAGCCCACAAGCTAGTTGATTATATTTAGATTTTCCTGTATTTACTAACATATAAACATTCATTCATTCAGATATAATTTGTAGCATTTTAATGTACTTTATTGACCTCGTGAACAGTTTAAAGGTCACAGGCCACACTCCAACATTTTTATGTTTACATCATATTTTCATTACATGATTAAAAGTGGTTCTACTTGCACAAAAAGAACAAACTAAATATCAAGTGTAAAGAAGAAAAAATAATTTAATTACTCGAAAAATACGCATTCAACGCAGTTACTACCCCTTAGCTACGATTTCCCATCTATAGAGAACGCCAGCCGGATATGACGTACGTTTATCCCCCACAAGACGAAGTACATGTGTCTTGCTGTCGAATAATAAAACATTATAAACCATGGATAGAGAACATTTAATGAAACTATTGAAAACTAATTTACTGTTCAGCATTAGATTGATATACATGCGCGACGCACTAGATTGCGTCGCTTTCAAAACTGTTCCATTGTTTAAATTTATTTTGAAAATTCCCGTTAATGCAGGTTAAAAGGAATCAATGTTGTCTCTTCTATGTGGGCTAACTTTATTAAGTATTAAAAAAAAAAGAAATTTGGCACACTTAAAAGAATTTAAAAGAACCAAACTTGACTTCCTTATGTCGGCCAGCTTCATAAGAAAATTCGGCACACTTACAAGATACCAGAGTCAGTTTTCGGGGTTGTTTGCTTTGTAATAAAATAAACTTTGTATCGGATATCCTGTCGGAAAGTTTAAGGAAAGAATTTATAGCTCTCTCCAAGTTATGTTTATCTATCGCCCGGGCTTCTATTTGTTTCCCAGATGTGATCATAATTTATGTACGGCAAATAGTATGCACAACATTAACTTGCTTTAATAACACTTTTGTAACCCATGCTAGCGAAAAGAGTATCATTTGGGAGATACCGTCGTATAGTTAACCTGGATACAATACAATCTTGGACAGTTTGCACCTTGCAACGTCATGCGTGAATGGCAGGTGCCTTCAAGCAATCGGATGATATTTTCGTCTCTTTTGTGATTTTGCTATTTGACATAAGCGCTACACACTATACGTGAGGATATATTTTTTCTTTAATAAATTTCGCGTGATGAAAAAGAAAGAATAAATTATAAAAATGCCAGGTTAATTTCTTTCATTTTATTTTCAAATAAGTGTATGTTTTTCATATTTTTTTACCTTGCGGGGGGGGGGCGCAGATGAAACACAAAATTAAATCCTTTCTTATTTGTATGGAATAATGATTGACGATATTGACTAGTAATAACAAAACTTGAAAAATAAAAACAATAAAATTAACTGGAAAGAACTTCATATTGCAGCAACTTTGACAAAATCTCTCTCTCTCTCTCTCTCTCTCTCTCTCTCTCTCTCTCTCTCTCTCTCTCTCTCTCTCTCTCTCTCTCTCTCTCTCTCTCTCTCTCTCTCTCTCTCTCTCTCGTAGCTGAGTGTGTATTATATGCAGTAGTGTTACAACGTGAAGCCTAAAATTAAATATATTTAATTTGATATCTCATGTACACTACTCTTAGATAAATGTATACATATTCTGTACAATATTATCTTTTAGTGTTATTAATTAAAAAAAGAATATTGATAATTTGACAGGAGGACTTAAATTGAGAATGTCGTTATGCAGATTGATATATTTTTAGCATGAAAAAAGTAAATATAAATATTTTAATTAGAACCAGCAAGATATGTCTGCTTGTGTTTTCTTTCATATGTATGTACGTTGCAAAGTATGATTACTTTCTTTGAAAACATATCAATTTCGTTTAAAATTAGTTTCTTTTTCTCTAAAAACTTATCCTCAAACGTATCTTAAATAGCATCTACTAGTTGTTTTAATAAAAAGAAATTGTTCAAAGTATTATTAAGTTGGGCCGAATTGTCTTGGGTCAAAAATGACTGTAATCCGGCATTAATGATACA